TAATATAACTACTAAACGGAACAACCACACTAACTACTAACTACTTACTAACTAACTACTATACTATATATATATATATATATATATTAAATATATATATATATATATATATATATATATATATATATATATATATATATATATATATATATATATATATATATATATATATATATACACTACATACTATATATATATATATATATATATATATATATATATATATATATATATCCATACAATGACACTTCACGGCATCATATAATTCAACGATCATTTGTGTGCACACATACCGAGTGTTGAATATCGAGAACCAGGATTACGGTACCATTGTCGAATCTGTAAATGACCTGTGATTCGAAGCTATCCCATGGGCAATTGACGAGTTGAGTATCTCTGACATTCAGCAGAGGCTCTATAGAAGCGATGTCTGCATCGACGAGAAGGCTAGGTGCGGCCAGCGTGACTGCAGCGATGATGGCTAGGGGTCTAGTAGGCGACATTTTCAGACTTGACCACTGCCTCGACGGTTCGAGTCAGTCAGTTTTCACCTCGATGGTTCGAGTCAGTCAATTTTCAACGAAATTAGTACGAATTGCCAAGTGAATGTTGGTTGTCACACTAAGTTGGAAGTATTGAGGGGTCGATTATTGTACTACCACAAAACTTCCGCACTTGTACAAGATATCTTGTTTCAAGCGAGAAAAGTGTGACTGTCTTAAAAATATCTGCCCCTTATATAATCTCAGTGCAGTCAATTTTAGTCATACATGAGCAACCAACTGCAACGGGCAATGCACGGATATTCTTGAAGTCTTAAGCTCTGCTGCCGTTCATTTTCCCTCTTTTATTACTTAGCACACTGTGGTGGCAGACAACGTTTTTGAAGCGACAATACTTTGCTACATACTCTTGCACGCCCATGGCCATATCGAGTGTACGTGGGAGTGTACCGGAATGTTCAGATCAAATTCTTAATGATGTTCAGTATTTTCGTTCATTGTATTTGGGTCCTGTCCAGGTCTCATAGTTTTCTGGTTATCTAGGTTTGTTAGCTCACTATCGATAATAATCACGTTCATTTTCTTCCTGACGCTCTAGGAGTCGAGTATGCTCAATTCGTTGCCAGTAAAGTAACATTAAAAACTCAACCATCCACCTACAGTGCGCTGTGTAGACGGAGCATATCTGTAGAGACTCTATACTACTCAGTATAGAGGATTATGATTCTCGATGCAAATATTTTCGTTTCACAAGACACAACCCGCCCAGAGAGATCGCATAATAACGAGAGTGAAATGTCAAGAGAGTAGAGACCCCAGCGAGAATCGTGTAGGCTTATCCAGTCACAGGACACTCCTGCTTCCACCCACACAAGAGTTAGTATTTTATAACAACAGTAACAGTTAACACTGTGACTGGAGTCACTGGACACTCCTGCCTCCACCTACCCAAGAGTTAGAGTAGTGAAGAATCCATACTCCTACACTCCAGTCTCCACTCCCCACTCCTGACTCCACACTTGACACTTGACACTTCACACTGCCACAGTTCCCTCCCCATTCAAATCGGCAATCTACGTCTCCGAAACAAACTTACTTTGCATCAGAAATTCAGAACTTCGGAATGCACGATTTATTGATGTTTTTTTTTCGTGTCTTTTTTTTTTCCTTTTTGTTTTTGTTTTGTGAGGGGGCGGGGTTGTTGTTGTTGTTGTTGTTTGGTTTTGTTTTTGAATGTTTTATGTATTTACTCATAGCCTTCTTGATAGGCGAGCCAGAAATCAGACTGATCAAAAATATCGCACCGGCAAACCGGCGTACCGGCGGTGGCGCACCATAAACCCGCCACCAAGTTACACACCCCGGGCCCGGAGCTGGGACTCGCCTTGCACTGGGGTTCGAAAATAGAAATATAAAAACCAGACCAGAAAATTTATAGAGTGGATTTTCGATTTTTGAAGCCACTTTGTGTCTAATAATCAGAAGGCTATGATTTTGCCCTAAATTTTGTCAAACCGTCGTAGATTCTTGGTTTGGAAATACATAAAAATCAAATTCAACTTCGTTCAACACGACTGGATTCGGGATTTTGCAAAACTTATTTTCATTTTGTACTACCAGTGGGTACTGGGCCGCTGGCAAACAATGGACCAGATAGTCCACTCACTGACCACTGTTGACAGTCCAGACGACTCACGACATTGACAAGAGTCCAGAGTCCAGAGTCCAGACTACACCAAACTCCAGAGTCACCAGTGACCACTGACGGTCTGACCAGACTGCTAGTGTTAACTAGAGTGCTGGACTTTGCTCTTCATATTTGTATTGTTTTGTTTTAGCAAACCAAGATGAAGAACGCAATCGAGATCCGGAATTTCAGGATCTCAATCTTGAATATGTATTTATTCTATTATCTGTCTGATAGTCTGTGATACTGTGATACATAAAGTGTAGTGTATTTAGAAATAGAGAGTATAGTTTTTTGAAAACAAAAGTAAAATACTCGACGATCGAAATCCAGTACACCGTCGATAATGGATAACTATGAAGTAAACATAGTCGGAACAATAACAATAACCGCGGTGTGAGAAACTTTTACACTCTTTTAGAGAAGTAAACAGTACACCGTTTCTGCTGACTCAAAAAAAATCCAAGAGTTGAAATACATTGTACTGTACCGGAATGAAGGGGAGAGACATCGTCAATGTGACATTACGTTGTGAACGGTAATACAAGTCTTCTCCCAGGCCACTCCAAAAAACAATAGTTTAAAAGCACGGGATATCACATACATTAAACCACTTCCATACTGAGTGACAAGTAAAAGTATTGGAGTTTATTTTCCCCTACACAGATCACTCTAAGAGGTGCATATACATTTAAACTTATTCTAGGCTCTACGAGTTTGCTGTTAGCACAAAAATATAGGGGAGGTGTCCAGAAGCGTCGCTCAATTCACCACAGGATGGCGACTTCCAAACAGAATTCCCTTGTGGCTGTGGGACTGATTTTGTCCTTAGCAGTGCAGCTCACGGGTGCTCAACATGCATGTGCACATCGTCCAGAGTATGAAATGCTGACAGGGGCAGGTGAGGGTCTGAAAATCAAAATCAATGTCAAGGAAATGCGCGAACATCTTCTGCGTTTAACGCTTCCCAATGAGCCGGCGTACAACGAAGCTATGTACGGGGCCTATCTATATGAGGAGATCGGCTGTGGAATGCGTCAGGCTGAACATGGTTGCGGACTGGCGGCACTAGGTGGTGAAAGCAAGTTCTGGGATGAGATTAGTGAGGAATATCGTATTTCGCAAAATGTTCGAGATCCAGACTTCTTAAAGTCGATTGAATCACGCACAAAAACAAATGCTATTGGTGAAGTACAAGATACTATACTTGCTCCCGGAATGGCCGCTGCGGATGCTCAGGCCGCTTGGGTATGGGGCTGGAATACTAATAACACTGACCGGCTCGATCAAGAGAAGTATGTACTATTCATTGTGATTCAATTACTTTAATCAATTCAAAGCCAGACTGTGCAAGGTACCCTGTGCAAGATACCCTGTGCAAGGTGCCCTGGATATTTACTGTGTTACGTGTGATTGAAATTCACACGACAATCAGTGTTGCGGGTGAATGTTTTGTGAATTCATCACATTGGGTATGATACACCACTTGATCGACTAGCTCATCGAGTAGCGACTACACTCTCAGTGATTTAGCCTGTCACCATTACTTGGCCAGTTATGTTTATGGTCAATCACAGCTATTTATCAAGTGTCTCTTTACGCCACCCTAACATTTATACGCATGATTTTCAGTGACACACATTTGCCTTGAAAAATTTAAGCAATTGGCTGATGTTTTTTTTTTAGTTCTTCACTTACAAGCGACTACTATGTCTTGTGCGTTTTTAGTTCTGTTGGCGTGCTGGGAATTTCTTCAAGTATGTGTATAAAAATTCACTAAGTGCACGATTTCAATGTACTTTCATTCCAATTCAGATGGTGGCATCACGGCTGTCCCGATCTATGTGTTGATATGAGTCTCGAGTGGGAAAAGTACGATTCCAACACATTGCAAAAGGAATTCGGACTCCGGCGAGTTGGTCATACAGTGTCGAATGCTGGTCATAACTCAGTCTCCCACGGCGTGAAGCAAGCCAATACAATTGCCTACCCAAGTGACAGGAATGCCTCAAAAACTTCGAAAGTACCTGGCGTAGTCAACCATCCCTATATTGAAGACGACAGTTTCTCCAGAAACACATCCTCGAGCGCTACCAATGTAATATCCTATACCACTGGTGATTCGTCACGTCTTTTCACGATCGTAGACGCCGTCACCGGCGAAGAGTTGGCCGCGTCATATATGGAGGCAGCTACACAGCAGTGGTTTTTGGAGCTACCTATCTACGAGCCAAGTGATGAAGTTACTGAAAGTTGGAGGGAGGACTTACTCATAACATCCCGACGCGACCTACATAATTATGGACCGTATCAATCCAAGATAGCCAATTTGCTCAAATATGACTACAACGATTATTACGAGCTAACCAACGACGGCTTCATGTTCCGCTTTTACGAGACGGCCAATCACACTAAGCCATTTGTTCCAAGTGCCGACTTCTACATCGTTCCTGGTGGTACACAGAGGCCTGCACACACCGGCCAAGTATATTCATTCGACAATTGGAATCGTTATCAAGACCACGCGTTTTACAATGTTCAGGGAGGGCTGTTCAAGAAAACTGATGCCGAAGGTGACAGTTTCAACCTCATAGCCAAGTACGTCGACCATCGTGACGGGGTGTGCGATTTTAGTGATTTTGTAGAGATTATACCCGAGCCTCTAAACAATGACGAAGTTGTCATCGTTCCAACACATCGTGGCAAGGACATTGGATTGTCGGCTGTTCTTGATCGCAGCGATGAGCAGGATGGGTTGATATACGAGGTGACCCGTACAACAGAGATACCCGCCAACAGTGCGGGAACACTTCTGCTCGACAACGTGAACGTGGGCGGTCTCTTAGGTGATACTAATGCAGTTGTCTCGGATCTGGGTAACTTTCCAAATATCACTATCAGCGTCAGCCAACCAAAGGTTCGCATGAGTGTCAGTGAGGTAACAGATATCGATGGGGCGGACAACATAATAGTGTTGTCAGAACAGATTCGCCTGCACGAGATCAGCAATCCCAGTGTATACCAGGAAAATGATGATGGTTCGAATCACACCGCCTTCCCGCTATGGGACACCTGGGCGTGGATGACGCCGATGAATGCCATCACCCGTGCCGAGGCCGAAGCTATGGATCTGACCGTGAATCAAGCCTTACTCAATACTATGCCGGGATTTAACTACACTTCATGGGTAGTGAATACAAACTCGAAGCTATACCAGCAGGACCTTAGTCTTGAAGAGCGCGTGAATCTCGCGGAATTGGACATCAACTACATCAGGGAACTTACACTTGCCCAGCGAGAGGAACGGTTCTCATTGGCAGCGTATGCCAGGGGAGACGACCCCGAGACTATCATTATTTGGTGGGGTATCGATACTGAGCGTAATCTCAATGTGGTGCCTACCTACTCCAAAATGGCGAATAAGAATAGTGCCACATCCGGTTACTTCCTCTACTACCCCAATATGAGTGAGTTGAATCCACTTGTGTGCGACAAGGGCGCAACTCGCGGCAGTGAATTCGCCCCGTACATGGAGACTCATCACTATGTTGCCAAACATTCTGGTGACTGGTACAAGACTTATAAGGTCGATACGAACGCACCAACAACAGTAACCGCTACACTGACTGTAACAATGGATTACCCGCCATCGGCCGAGCACCCCGAGGGCCACAAGACTGTGTCCACGTTCGAAAACTTTGCCATGGATGGGGACAGTATTGACTTTGTTGACTCCGCAGCGAAGCTGACAATTAAAAAGACGGGCAGTGCAGCATTCTCTGTGGCCGAGCTGGTCGGCCATTCTGCAATGCAGGGCTTAGCTGAATTTGGTGTTCTTCGCCACGGCAACTATAAAGGAGATTTTGGCGATGACTACAAATGGAACGTTTTGACCCCTGCACTCGGTGACATCCATCAAAACTGTGGAGGCGTGGCATACGACAACACTCTATTGATTGATTGCGATGAAGCTCAATCGCAGTGCTACGAGAACAATCCTGGATACCTACGTCAAAGACTCGCTCAATCGGCGCCGTTTAATGCGACTTTGTTAATTGGCGATGTTGTCGATGCAGATGGCAACACTATGCACAGAATCCGATTTGTTGAAGATGGGTCTGCTCTCGAGCTCTATCCTAAAGCCGATCCACTCACATTCACAAACGCTTACCAACTGGCAATCACCTTTCCAGGCTTCAGTATCCAGGATGAGCAGGGGCAGGTTGGCTTGCAATCTGATATGGGTTTTGATGTGGCAGTGACAGTCATTCCTGCCACCGACGGGTCTACTGTTTCAGGATTTCTCACTTTTGCAAACGACAATGCTGACGGCAAATCTTGGGGACCATTCGATATCAGCCTCATGTGCAGTATTACTAACGCCCAGACAGGTGCGATTAGCGAGCCCGTAGAGATCCATACCGTTGAAGGTGTCATGGTAGCACCGAATAGCCAAAAATCGAGCACACTCGATTTCAGTCTGATTTCGAGTGGCATGGCATCTTTGGTCGGGGACACCATGATGTGCAAAGTAGTTCAATCCATCGAAAGCGAGATTGGCGATGCGGACTCCAAGATTTCTACCACAATCTCAAGTGTCAGCGTGCCACTCTTTGTTTATCAGGATGACTCTATGACAGAACCTGAGTTGCTTTTCAACGAACCGTGCCTCAACAGTCAGTTAACTGCTAGCGATACCGGCACACAAGTGGCGTGGGAGCACGAGGGAAAAGTGTATTGGGATGATTTTGGCGATAACAGATTGACATGGGGCAAAGTAATTGTAACCACTACCACAGATACGCCTCATGAGTTCTCTTACACTGCTCGGTGCGGTCACGTTGGGCCAATGCCGTACCGCTTCACAATGCACGAACAAAAAGATAGACCGAGTAACTTTAACTTTTTGTGGTTCCATGACGAGTATGCACCGGCACCAACCTTTGTCAATGGTATTGGAACGAAAGAGGTAAACCCCATCGATGGCCGCATGCATGTGGTGAAGGAAGTCGCTCCTATATGCAAAGAAATCAAAGCACTCAACGGAACTGCCGGTACTAACCATTGTGTTTGGAGTATCCACCGCGGGGCTTTTGAAAGTGAAAAAGGACTGTGGCATCACAACGGCCAGCAGCAGGATGAGTGTCTGGTCACAATCCTGGAGAAGGTGGGCAAGTGCTGGGTTCCAATTAGCACCTTCTCGGACCTCTCCGGCAAGGAGGAGCCCGAGACGACTAATGTAGAGGTCGAGGTTGCATTCAACGTCAAGGATCAGTTCAATGACATTCGCGAGCAGACTGTCCAGTCGTTCTCAATGACCTTGGACGGGTCTTTCAATGAGTTTGATGCGTGCGTCGATCCGGCGACCCTGGCAGCTGGTCCCCTATGCCCAGCCTCTCAGCAGTGTGTCAGTCTACCCGGTGGCAGCCATCAGTGCGTGTGCTCTATCGCTACGATGCAAGCCAACCCGACGACAGGCGCTTGTGAATGTCCTGAAGGCAAGCAGCGCGGTGACGATGACTACTGCTACGACGTGATCGAGTGCCCCAAGGGAGAACGCGTCGTACTAGACGTTGCCACAATGTCGTCCGAATGTGTTGCGTGTGATGAGGGTTGTCTCGAGTGTGATGCCAGCAACAACTGCCTGGAAACTGTCCCAGTACCATGCGACGCAAACTGTGCGACTTGCGACTCTACTGGGGTATGTACTAAGCTGGCTCCGGAGGCATGTCCCTTTGGTTGCGACGAGTGCACCTTGGATGGTATCACCTGTACCAAGCGCACAAGGGGTTACTACGTTAACCAGGATTTCGAATTTGAGTGCAGAAACGACGGTACAACTGCGGCCGAATATCTCAAATGTAAATTCCAATCAGACATTTCGGTATTCAACAAGGGCTCCGACAAGAAGTTGTGCTCGGAGAAGTTTGGTGCCGATTGCACGCATTGCAACTACAAGTTCTGCATGGAGCGCCGGGGAGAGAATTTTGTCGACTTCCCAAGTTTGGATCACTACCAGACTGGGTACTTCCTTGAGATATTTCCCGAGAGAAGCAACGACATCGGCTCCTCCAGTACTGACCTCTGCTATGGAGACAATTACATATATGCACAAGATGCCCCGGAATTTAACATCAAGGGTGTGGTATCATGGCAAGCAGCTTGCGATGGTAAAAATATAACTAACAGAGCGTTCGAAACTGTGCTGCAGGACTACCGCTCGCTACCAGGAACAACAAGGCGCAAAACTCAGAAAGTCGGACTCGTCTACAGTGTCGTTGGTGAGATAGGTCAAGGGGCAATTATCGTTACGAATCTGGAAGATATTGATCTCGCCAGAGATTGGATAAAGATGACCAGCGAAACCGGCACGTGGGTACCTTTATTGATGAACAACAACACGTATACGTGCGACGAGCTGATAGGCCCTGGCTGTGCGCAGTGCAGAACAGGTTATAAAGCGTGGGAGGAATACAACTTTCCATACTACGAATGCTCCGAGTGGAACGAAGGAGTCCAGCCCTACCAACGTAGCCAGGCTGAACATATCGAGTATGACCACTATCTCGCTCCCACTCATCCGTTGAAGGAAGCTACATACTGGGTGGAACGATTAGCTCTTGAAAACTCTTATCAGTGTGCCGAACTATTCCGTGACGCCGATAATATATATAGGTACACAGACAAAGTAACGCCTCGGGCGGCCGCACTGGGTGCAAAAAATACGGATCCCTTCCGTGAGCAGGGACCGTATGATCAATGGCTCATGTACGAGGGCTGCAACAAATGCGACAGAAAATCCCGAACGTGTACCGAATGGAAGTGCCCCTTCAGGAGTCAGAAGGTATTGAACTACACTGCAGATAGACGCAAATCGCAGTTCGCGGAACACAGGGATTACTACGAGGAACTCATCAAGTGGGGCACTGACCCTGTACTTAGCGATCCATCTCTAGAACTGGACCAGATCGACTATGACAGATTTGAGAAGCAGTTCAGTTCATGCGAGTGCAATGTCGCCGACGGATACGCGGTTATCGACTACATTGAAGAATTCTTCCTCGGTACGGGCATACAAAGAACCTGGGGTAATCTCGGCACTGCTCACCAGGAATGGAATAATTGGGGTTATTGGGGCGGATATTCTCTACAAATGGAGTGGTACTACTCAGACATAGACTATGCAGCGATGGCTTCCCGTATGTGCCGAGGTAAGTCAATCTCGCTTCTGTAAACAAGAGTACTACAGCACACCTATCGAATATATGCGAATATATGCAATAGGGGAAAAACGGATATCTACAAACGGCATTAGTGTTGACAATTATTTACATTATGTATTTCGTAGTGAGGAAGTGGTGACTTGTCTATAGTCCTGTTTGACGGTAACGATAGACCCGACTGCACTTACACGTGTCTGCCGATATTGAATTGTCTTGGGAGGATGTGATATCAAATGTATTCATTCTCGCATCATAAACATCTCACCTCACCACAAAATCCTACAGCCAATGTGCTTCGCACAGTACACCCTGATACTGCTGTGGCAACCATGAGCAGCTACACCGCGTCGGGGTCGACTCTGAACGGTAATGCCAGTATGGCCTTCAAGGGCGCAGTAGGTCTCAAGGACATCGGAGACGAGGTCCACGGTCCTATCAACATTCCTATCGATACCTGCGCTAAAACTGGCGTGATCAGTAATGTGGCGACCGCCACTGACGGAGAGCTCAATCCCTGGTGGAAGGTGGAGCTGCCTGAAGCGTACAACATCTATGCGGTAGGACAGTGTGAAAGCGATTGTTCATGCCTACATATTCTGCACATCCTTATGTATGAGCGTTTCTCGATTGTTCATGCCTACATATTCTGCACACCCGATGGGCCTTTCTCACCGACACTGTGAGTCTGTCACGGTACCATACCCCTTCAGTAGTTCTATTCTCCTTCAGTAGTTTCTGTACCACACCTGTTCACTAACACCAGTTCACTAACACAACACCATTCTCTCTTACTCCCCATTCTAATTTACTGATCGGGTAGGTGCGAATTTTCAACCAAGATTCTGACAATTTAGATGCCATGAACAATGTGACCATCACCATCTCCAACTCCACGACCGGCGAAATCACACACGATTGCGTACCCTACAAGAACTACAGGGAAATAAAGTACGAGTCCGCTAGCCCATTGTGGGCACCGACCGATGGTTACTTTGCTCCCCCATTGCCGGATTCGTACAAATACAACAAGATGGCGAAAACAGGAGCAGTGCCTGTCGACGACGGTCTAGACGCAATGAACTTCAACCAAAGTCGGTACTATTTCAGTGAAGAAACCGAGACGTACAAGGAGAAGAACATTGGGCCTGGGTGGAACATCAAAGATAAGTATGTGAACCTTAAGCGGCCGGATCACTTTAAGGGACGTCGCGGAGTCATCGATACAGAAACGCACAAGGACAGCTTCAACCCAAGCATCAAGGCCTTCTGCTGGCCGCGATGGCCGCTAGACTACACTAAGGCGTGGGGAGTACAAAGAAGCATATACAATGCAGCCAAGGGCAATGTGATCACGGTTACACAGCACAACGAGGCCCGTGACAGGGCCACTGCCGATCCCGAGGAGTATCGTATCACGCTCTGCGACGTGGGCGTCTACACGTGGGACGATGACAAGGTGGTCTACGACGACGACGGAGAAGCCGAACCACTCAATGTGCCCGTACCAGGCTATAACTACAACTGGCAGTAATTCCTGGGTATGACGGGTGCGCTCAGCTCCGGCTGACAGCTTTTCCTCACAGTCGACAGAAGCATGTCGTCATATACAACGGTATTTGGCTTGCAGATGCAGTGTGTATTGTCACGTTGGTATGTTACCCGGTCAGTCACAGAGGCAACTGCAAAGGACTCGACACTTCTGAATTAAAGTATACCACAAAGTTTGAGTTAAATTGTTCAGTCACATTTTCAAAGTATACCACAAAGTTTGAGTTAAATTGTTCAGTCACATTTTCTGTCGTGCTTTGTCACAGCAATTTATATCGTCCAAGGTCCACAACGCAGCAAGTTAAAAAAAACTACATTTAGTTCACTTTTAACATATACACTGCCACTTCAATGTCTTGTTCAGTATCAATAATTAAATGTTGCTCAGTATCCATAATTATATGTCTTGTTCAGTATCAATAATTTATAGTATCCATAATTATATGTCTTGTTCAGTATCAATAATTATATGTCTTGTTCAGTATCAATAATTTATACACTACTTCAGTTGAGTAGAGCATGATCATCTCGCTTCCACTTTGATATTGCGGTGCGTCCCTTTCAAGGATACTAAATGTATACATATATGAATATGTATATGTATATATATATATATATATATAATATAATATAATATATATATATATATATATATATATATATATATATATATATATATATATATATATATATATATATATATATATATATATATATAATATATATATATATATATATAT